CACATACCATTTACCTTTACAACAAGAAATTTGATTGGCTGTTTATAGTAGATCCAATCTCTCACTCATCCATTGACCCGTCCATAACATACCCGACGCGCCGACTAAGAGGTTTTTTTTTTTTTTACAAAAAAATAGCTCAAAAATGGTGGATTAAGAATGCTACATACTGAATGTTTGATAAAAGCAAAGCGGGTCAAATGTCTAAAGAAATTTTTGCAAGACTACCCAAGCTCGAGGAAAAGCGTCCTTGGAAAAATTCTTTCACCAGTTGGGGGACGTTTTCTTTTATATTGTAATTTCGACACCGCTAAACTAAAAATCTTCTTACCAGCTTACTACAAGGTGTGCCTAGATGCTTAGTCCGGACTAACCGGGAAAACACCTGGCTCTTCTTACGAGGTGATTAATGAAATTATTTGGAACGATAGGGTTCTTTGCATTGACAAAATGTCTATATTTAGAGATGATATGATCAAGTAAGGATTTCTTAAGATAGGTGACGTTGTTGTGTGGGCATAAAACTCTTCTCGTTTTAACGTGTACAGCGCTTCACTTCTATCTCCCGAACAAAATTTATTTCGAATTTTTGCGTTTGTTCTCACCGGGAAATCTGGACCGAGCTATTTTTAAACCTCGTTCTGATGCCCAATCACAGCGCGAAGGGCTTTGTTTCGTGTGTTCAAGATGGCGGAACGAGACGTCGAAGACTCTCCTGTCGGTGTCCCAAGTCCTAAGGTGTTAATTAACGCTAAAATGGCACTAATTATGGCAGTTTGAACACTGCTAGGTGTTGGTATCACACAAATGCCTTATGTGATAACAATGGGGTGACAGGCCTACACAACTCCTATCCACGTGTAATAGCCGCTTTGAAAGTTTTGCTCAAACTAGTACATCTTTAAGGATCTGCCCCTTTTGTATGGTACGACAGGGGGATCCTGTGTTTTTAGGAGGATATTTCACTAGAGTAGAGCCGTTAGAGGTCATAGGTCTGTGTGGTTTACGCTGTTATCCGCGTGTAATTTGTAGAGTTTGACACCTCTGTTTTTTGCCACGTGCTAGTTTTTTTTTGGCTTATTTGTACTGCAAGATATGTTTTAAGCTCTCTAACTATTAGCTCTGGAGGGACAAAGTTTGAAATATTCCGTGAACATGTTGGTTACTTGCATTTTGTATTATTACGCCGGGCCCGGCTGTTTGATTAACTGTCGCAAGTTATGCTGCTTCTTATCGCGGGTGTCATATTTATCTTTGTCAGGCTTCGCCAGAGATAGCTGTTTCCTTGCGGAAAGCTTTAAGTCTGTCTTAGAGAGACGTTCTTATGTTTCTTGAATCAATTTCATCGAACTTTTTATCCTTCCAGTTTGTTCGTTCTGGCACTGTTAATGTAGATGTTCACGCGCAAGTCTGTTGACTGTTTTGCGTGTTGTTTATGATATTGTGTGGTTTTGTTCGGGAAAAAGCTCTGAATTTAGGAGTTCTTCTTATGATTGTTCATCCAGCTCCACGTTATGGTCGTCATTGCTTTATTGGCGATGTTGTCAGGTTTTCTTGAGACTGTTAGTAGTCCCTCTTTTGTTAGGACGCTTGTAGCCTTGTCGTTCAGGCAATACCGCGGTTTCGATCCTTCTGGATCTCATCAGTTGCCGATAGCAGGGAGTGATGGAGACCAATGCTCGGTAACACTCCGCACCTTATATACTCGTTCGGCGGATCGAGAATTCTTGATTTTGATTGGTAGTTTTGCCACCAGCGAATGGTGAGCATAAAGTCTTCGATCCCATTGTACACAACTTGACACTGTGTTTTCTATGATGGCTATAATGCTTATTTTCTCCATCATATGTGGTTTGAATTTCAGTCAGTAGAGAGCCACATGTAATACGCGTCACCATGCTCACTTCCCTCCCACTGAGATCCTTGAACTGGCTAATTTTACATCCAAGATGGTTTTAGAATTCAAAATGTCCCATGCTCCAGAGGTTGCGTAAGGAGCCATGTAAAGTTTCTAATTGACTGGCCTTCAAGTCTGATTTAATTAATTTGCAGTTCAACTTGCCAACATGGAGACTTTCCAAACTTAAGAAAAACTCTGACAAATATGAATTTCTTGAAATTCCTTTTATTGGAATACTTTTAAGAGATATTTGCAACAAAATATATATCAATATGCCCTTAGAAACACAAATAACAAGAAGAATCGCCGATTCATCAACTCCATTTGTAAGCTTACCTGAAAATATAATGAGCTCGTTACATTTGCTTGTAACAAAAACAAGTTTAAAACTCAGTGGTCTTATTCATAGCTAGCTGTTGTCGTTAGACTTAAAAATGGTTAAAACGCTCTGAGACTTCCAGAGTTTTAAGATTAGACCGCGTAGAAACTAAAACAATTATAAAAGACGTGGTAACAAATACGCTTAAATTATGCTCGCAAAAAGCATTAAGCGTTGAACTTCAACTGCAGGACTTCGCACAATTGGACATTGAACATCGGAGAAGCGGCGGAAAATACACAAATTATTTATATAAAGCGGTAAAAAGTTAACAAATCGAATGTGGTTTAGCGTGGTCTGTACTCATCGCTGCGCCTCGTGAGTCCACAACATTTTGACCACTGTGATGACGCGTATCGTTGTCGATAAGAATACAGACCACGCTAAACCACATTCGATTTGTTAAATTCCCGAAGCAACGTTTAGCTGACGTCAGCAAGAATCTACTTGCCGACGTTGCAACTGTTGCAAGCGGCAATTTGATTGACTGGTCATAGAAGTTTCAATTTGATTGGTCTGAGACACATACATCGCCCGTCCACCCACCCAAACCCAACGAAAATACACCCGTCATGCCGACTATAAGGTAATTTTTTTCACAAAAAATAACTCAAAAACTCATTTTCACACATGCAGGGTGGCATAAGGTGAAATGCGTGGGATTCAGTATTGGAAGGTTTCTGTCGGCTTGTAGTGGGTCTTGATGTCCAGGATAGAGTCAGTTTGAAAGCTATCCCCTTTGTCGAGGAAAGTAATTTCGCTCTCTGAAAGGGACCAAACGAAAATATGTGGACCAACACTCAATGGAGAATAAAATTACCAAAACAGAAGATTCAATCCTTAAACTGGAAAGACATTTGAACAATCGGACTTTTGCGAGTGAATTTATGGCATATGCATTCACTTATCACCGAAATATTAATGACGTCAAGAAGTGTTGATGTGGAACAGGTATCATGTTTATACATAAGCAGTAAATCAAGGAAACAGCGAACTAAGAGCTTACTTGAGTCAGTAATTCGGGTAATCTGCGACACACTGATGAGTCAGAATAAATATCTTTAGGATTTACGCCTAACTGAAAACAAACTTCATTTTAATCTACCATTCTATCCAATAATAACTGTTTCGAAACTGTTACGTTAATTTTCATGATAATTGGCTTTGTGCGTGATTGCTAACACAAACGCCGAAAATGATGTCATAGATATATAAATTCGTGGAAATCCACTTTCGATCACACCATGAAGGGAAACCACGTTAGTGAAGTGAACACGAAACGAGCCATCGAGAAAAACCGGCGAGAATCAGTTGAACTACATATCACCTACAGCAGGCTGGAAAAAGACTGCAAGGAAAAATGTGCCTTTGTTGACGCTGAAAGAGCCCATTTCCTGAAGCACAAGCACGCCATCCCTAGCTCACAGCACAGGAAAGGACAACAGCTCTTACCAGCAATAGTCATCATTCAGCCGAACGCTGAACCTTCGCAGAGAATTCGCGCATCTTCGGATGTTACAGCTGAAAAGAAAATGGTGAACTCGTTACATTCGTCACGACGTGCGTTTTCGGCAAGAAGTCGTTCCACGGGAACGTTACAATCAAATTCACTTTTTCAAGGAAACGTTGGCGAAGCAACTCTAAATCCTGCTGAACATTTAAAAGGTGGTTCATTGCATTTGCCTCCTTGTACAGCCGAATTGGGTTTACTATCCAGAAAAAGCGGGAAGTTTAAAATTCTAGATTTTTCAGTAATGACCTTACCTGTGTTGCACTCGATAAACGACTCAACAAGACTAGAAGCACTCGATCTTCCCTTTAATGAACACATTGTGAGGAGGAAAATACAATCCGAGAAAGACCTAGGAATTAAACTTAGTCAAGTCAGAAACTTGAGATATCTTAGGAGTGGAAGATACACTACACGTTAGGATTAGTTTCTTCGTCACTATACTTCAGCTAACTGATCCTAATGTCCTTTGAAAAGTTTGAAATATCATTTTATTTGCAGTTGTTTGGTCATGCTATTGTACTCACGCTTCTAATGCGTCGCAGCAATAAAGCAGTCCTTTAGTTGTCTGATTACGATGGTGGTTTTACCCTTACGTCACTGCCTTTAACAAACATGATCGGCATTTACCGCTTCTTATATATTGACAGTCAGTTCCCCTCCTTTGCTTTCATTTAAAGGGCCTCAGTCACGGTACAAACGACGAATTTGAAAAATTGAGTCTAAACTTTTCAATATGCGCAAACCGTGACTGAGCTCCTTAAATACACTATTTCTTACATGCTTTACGCATGACGTAGTCAAAATCGTGAGAAAAACGATCGTTGCCACAGACACCACTTTCCAAAATTCCCTGACTTTTCCCCGATAAAAATAAAATTTGCCTGACCAAATAAATACAAAATGTCGGATATATTAGCAGGTTCTAAGCTTATGGCCTTACAGCCGTTCTTTCCACCCATTAAGACTGATAAGTTGTCAACACACTTTCCTTCTTCATATTAAGACAAAAACGTCCAGGTCACAGTGAACCCAAATGTTTCTTCCATCCTTCAATGGTATTAAATTACTCCATTTTAAGGACTTGTCTTCAAAATGTCAATTTCCTTGACTCCAAAATTTTTGACTTTTCCCTGACCTTAAAGAATTTTTTTTTTGCCTGATGATTTCATGACCAGTGGCAACCCGGAGCAGAACGAATACGACATTAGTAAGAGACATCAAGAGATCGCATTTTATTTTTATCAGTGTTATGAACCGATGATATTTCTTCACTTCCATTTTCCGTTAATCGTCGATACGCGACTACCTACTCAAAGGAAAGCAGTGCTTTACATAAAGAAACCAAAAAGTTGTCGGTTCCTTGATTGTTTCATGTGAAATTTAAAAACCTCACGACGCATTAAGTGTTTTACTGACACGTAACATATTCTTGTCCACACAAGGTACCAACTCACTGTCTGATTGACTCCTACACTTTCTTTTGTACATGGCTGGACGTTGCTTTTTGACGCCTGTAATACAGCGTGCTGCCACAAAAATGTAAGATTTTAAAACCTGGATTTGTTAAGAGACCACTTTTCCTCATTCGGCTGCGTATGACTGATAGATGGCAACACCTTTTTGACCAAAAATGTTCAGCTTGTTTGCAGTTGAGCTCCGTCTGACTTGCGCTTACTCAGACTGTGACTTGGAAGAGTCCAGCACTTTAGCTAACAGAGAGTTTAACCTTCCCACCATGTTGCGAGGGTCGTGAAGTAGTCCTGCAGACATCATGGCATTGTCATACAGCTGCAACAAAAACGGTTCTAATGATCAGCTCTCCAATTAACAAACGACCTTTGATTGCGTTTTCGCTGCCCTCAGTCGTGATTATCACGACAATCCATGAACCTTAAAAAAGAAACAAACAAAATGGAACTACATCTACCAATCAAAACCCGCAGTTGCTGAAGTGAACTTCTGCTTCCTGATTGGTCCACTAAGTTGATTGATGCCGGCAACAAAATTAAATGAGCAACTTCGTGTGTTCAGCACCAAATAGCACAGTAAGTCGAACCTGGCTGTGCGAACACCTCCCCTAAAGTGACCGCCAGGTTTTCCAAAATACCTAACTTCTACGACATAATTACGGGGGCCGAATGGGGAACGAGACGTCGCACAACGGTGATAAAACGTTATATAGCAAGTAAAATTATTCTCGCATTTTGATTGGTTCTCACCTATGATCTATTAGAGGACAGACAAATTCATGCATCTGTCCTGTTATTGACGAAGAATTTCGTCACAACATTGTCAAAGTAGTCTGCGGATCCACAGCTACTTTGACAATGTTATGACGAAATTCATGATCAATAACAGAACAGACGCATGAAAAACTGACGTCGATTTGTTAATTTTACTCAGATTGGTGTCAGGAAAAAAAAAAAAAGAACATCACAACTGAATACCACTTCTTAGTATCAACACATAACCTTGCCTTCCGACGCGAATGTTCCAGTTCGTTTCAGGGCACACCAGCCAGAAAAAAATAGCTCACTACAGCTCACGGCGGTCTCTATCGCAGCTAGAAAGTGTCTCAAATGCACTTGAGAATCACCAACCACAGTGGACACAAATTTTCACCGTCACTAACGTTCCTTTCATTCATATCTCGAATCGAATGGCCTCCAACGTGTCGATATTGATCGCAACCGCAAGCTTTCCGAACGGCTTTTTTAACTCCTGCAATATTCAAGACAACGTCCAGGCTTTTTCAGTTCACTGGAGAGCGCTGATGACAAAAACTGACTTGACTTTTCTAGTACTTTGTATAAGATTTGTAGATTTTGCAGTTCAATTCTACTTTCGCTGTAAGCTTTCTATTCCACGACGCTCGATTCAAGTTTGACAGTGGCGAGATTTTATGGATCCATCGCAATTATTTGTTACGCATAGCAACCAGTGAGTTTGCTTCATTTTGTATAGACAAAAGATTAAATTGCTATTTTCGTGTGAAGTATATATGAAATAATTCATATTGGAACTGCGGTTGTAGATGAAAGTGAAGAATGATCATCGCAGTAAATTTTCCAATTTAAGCAATTGGAAAGACGCCCGAAAAAATCGGGGCTTCAACTGGATTCGAACCCGTGACCTCCGCGATACCGGTGCGATGCTCTACCAACTGAGCTATGAAGCCACACATTGGGAGCGAGGTCAATTA